ATGAATACATTCTTATCCCCTCTCAGCTGTTCAGTCGTGCATGACATAAACATATCAACGCTCGGAGTTTTAGATTTGTAGCGTCACGTGTTTATCTATATGATGACAAAATACACTCTGTTGAATTCTCTCTGTCACTCTAGCCACGAACATACACGAATGTACCTGAATCTTCATGAAAATGACCATATGCTCCGTTTATCATTTGACCCGTGAAGATGCGGGGTGGAAGAGGTCTTCAGCAACCCATGCTTGCCGTAAAAGGCGACTATGCTTGTCATAAGAGGCGACTAACGGGATCGGGTGGTCAGTCTCGCTGACTTGGTTGATGCATGTCATCGATCCCAAATGCGTGGACTGATGCTCATGATATCAATAACTGAATTGTCTGGACCAGACTCGATTATTTACAGACTGCCGTCATATAGCTGGAATATTGCTGAGTGCGGCGTTAAACAACAAACCAACAAACCAACCAACATCACCATTGAAAACCATGTCTTGTTTGTTTCATTTGTATCCACCATCAAAGATGGAGTAGACTTGCTTTTAGTCCAACAGTTTATTACTTAGCGAAGTCAAAGGCAGTTCTTGTCATCGTCTCTTTTAATGAGTGCGGCGTTAAACAAGAAACAAACAAACGCGATCAAGCTGAGTGCTCTTATGTAGCGACGGCTACAAACGCACGTGTGTAGTTGCCGTACTAATGCCGGTTATATAGTTATAGAGATACCATGCCACAGTTTAACATGGGTATACCCCCTCAGACACAGTATACTGACTCCTACTCGACCAGTCCTTGTTTAACCCCTTAATGCCGAGAGCAAGGCAAGGTAACAACAAATACCATAATATTATTTAATCGTTTTTGTGTGTGACGCGGACGGAGATTGAACCAACGACCTTCCGCTCTCGGTTCGACGCTCTACCACTTGACTACGGAGGCAGTCTTGGTGCGGGAGGAGTACCCAAAGGGATGAAGTCTTAACGTTCGTCATTTTACAATCATAAGTTTCCGACACGCCCCGGGGACAATAACGTGCACAGCAAATTGCGACGTCTTCGACCTCTGGGGCACTTTGACCACAACGCTATTGCAGCCTGTACAAACATGTATTCTAGGGCGACGGGCTTAAAAATAATCCTAAGAAGAATTTGCACATCACTGTCCCATCGGAGCGCTGGCGCCTTTGTCCCAGGCCTCGTGTCGTACACAGGACCTCAAGGGTCGACGGGGAGCTCAGCGAACTTGTTTGTTGCGCGGAGGGTTATAGCTGAATCGCGTGTGTTTATTGCACCGGAATCTACGAACGTAATAGCGAGTACAGTGACAATGACTTTTCCTCTCCCTGAGGAGAGTCGGTCGGCGAGAGCAATTAGAAAAACCATGATACCTTTGATCGCGAAGGTCCGGTGTTAATCACATAATTAGTCCATGCCGTTGAGAATATCTTCTAATGTTAGTGAGATTTTGAAATATTAAATGTGACATTTGCACTTTTCCTATTTCAAAGGCCATCAGTGGACCGTACGTAGGGCTGATGTGATTAAGAAGTCCTGCTATAAATCGAGGCAGCGGCTCGGATAGGATTTCTAAGGAGACTCGCGCCAAAGTTGTATGCCTTTGAGATTAATACTGTTGAAATACAATGGGATCAGACTGGCAAAATAGACTCGTTTCAGTGAAATGGTTAACGCGGGTTATTTTGTTGTGGTCATCGTTTCTTTTGATCGCCCGTTTGGTGGCTGCGACTGCCTGTAACCATTTATCTCAACAGTGACAGCGTACTGAATACATCTCATAGCAGTGTCTGTCTCCTCTGTTTTCTTTGGGCTGGTATTATTTGATTTTCCAATTCAGCGATAAAAGCTTTTTTTAACAAAATCACTCGACGTTCAAGGTTTCTTTATAGAGCAGCCTTTTTATAAATTTTAATTCATTTTATTTATTAATGCTTGTGTTCTTGTCAATCTCGATCATGAGAGAGTGACAGGGTGAGTTTAGTTTAACTCAGGGTGTGAATGATGTGTGTTGAGGGGAATAATGGTCGGAATATACGTCGCCAGAAACCCATGCTTATCGTAAGGGGCGACGAACGGGATCGGTGATGCAAGTTGTCGCACCCAGTTGCTTGGATCGATGCTCATAACATCAATCGCTGGATTGGCTGGTCTAGACGCGATAATTTACAAACCGCTGTCCTATAGCTGGAATATTGCTGAGGGCGGCGTTAAACAAACAAACAAAGAACGAACCAAACAAACCTGAGCATGGTGCTGACGGATCAAGGTATGTGATTCGACCCCTCCATATCAATTCAACCGTTAATTCTCCTTTAATACCTCCCTGGGGCATGGAAAGCCAAGTCGTCTGAGGCGTTAACTTAGTTGTGCACAGTTGTCTCCCTTCACGACGTAAGGATCTAGTGTCCGTCAAAGATTTAACGTCTACATCACTGGGGCCTTCCGCCAACACTAATCCTACAGCTGTGATACAACTGAAATACTTGTCAAATACAACTCATTCCCTCATTTATTCAATTTATCCAACGTATTAATTTTTCATTCATCTGTTCGCTTACTCTTTCCTTCACCCCACGCTGCACTCCGCCATTCCTTGAACGTGCTAAGAAAACAAGTAAAATAACTGAACTAAACAAAATGTCAAAAAAAGGCTTGCCTGCTTTGAAGACGGGTAGAATCTACAAAACGAATTTTCTACGTGAAATACCAATTTCCTCTTTTCATTCATCAAAGGAGCGCACATCAAATCGAACCCTTTGAAAAGTTAAGCATAGAGCACTAATACATAATACATCATAACTATCGACCCCTTCGGCGTCGCAGTGTTACTGCAAGCCATAATGACGAGCATCACCTTGAACGATTTCAACATTTATACGAAAACTACAGCAACAAGCACATACATGTACATCCCAGTGACGGCACACCCGTGTTACTCTCGGTAATGAAGCTGTTCATTGTACAGACAGACAAAAACGCTGGAGATGTGAAACTTCTCCGACTCTGAATGGACAGATTAGCTACAGACATCCTGATAATCCTGACGCAGGTCGTGACGGGATGGTGTTTGAGTTGTGTGTTTGTAAAGTATGACTATTGTACATATCTGCCACACGCAGTCACCGCATCCCGGATGGAGCTGATGCGAATGCTGTAGGAGTTGCTGCGAACGCTGTATCCTAATCGTGTACACTTATGTGCTCAGAATAAATCACTTGATGTGTTGGAAATGCTGCATACTCTACGTCTTCCTTTACCACAATATCACGCCGGGGGACACCAGAAATGGGCTTCACACATTGTACCCATGTCGGGAATCGAACCCGGGTCTTCGGCGTGACGCTTTGACCACAGGGCTACCCGACCGCCCCAGACCGTTAAAGACTATTTTCCCTTTGTCTTAGCGTCACTGTTCAGTAAAATTCAATGCTTTGAAAGGCTTTATGCCTGATGGGTGTGAATAGTGATGAACCCCAGAAGCAGTTACATCGCAACAACGCGTACGTTAGAACCGGTGAGTAAGTGAGTGAGTATGGTTTTACGCCGCTTTAAGCAATATTTCAGCAATATCACCAGAAATGAGATTCACACATTGTATCCATGTGAGGAATCGAATCCGGGTCTCCGGCGTGACGAGCGAACGCTTTAACCACTAGGCTATACCATCCCCCCGTTAGAACCGGAGATCTGATGTGTTTTATAAACCTCAAATATCCGGACAGTGCTACGGCGAAATAAACCAATTTCTTCTAAACAGATCATTATGATGGTGTAGGTCTTGTGTAGGTAAGCAGGGGTTGTGAACTAACGGGTTTTGATAAACGAGGTCCAGATCGAAGGGGATCCTGGACTTCCGGGGTCCAGAACAAAGGATCAGCCATGGATTGCCCTTCCCACGTGGAAACCCAACCGGGCTCTAAAAAAAGGTCAATTTATCAACGCAACCCAACTGAATTGTTTCTCAGAATTGTTTCGATACCGGGATCTGTCTTATCCTGAAATCTCTACGTGTATACCGAAATTAGCGTGGAGAGATCATCACTAAAAGGGATGTTTCGATTATAAACAAGTCTCTAGGTTCAACCAAACAACAAACAGGGCCATGTTTTGCCAAACGGTTCCTACCTGCCCATTCTACAAGCAGACTGGTCGTGAGGGTGGACGTAGTCCGATTCCGTCGATTCTAAAAGACGTTAAAAGATGACACTTAATGTTACCCTGCCTGGCGCCTATACCAGGCCCTCGTATACATTGTAAGTTCAATAATAATCTTTAACCTCATTTCACCTCAGGTACAGACTACAGTTAACTACGTTTATATCGAACACGCTTATAACGAACTGACGCATATATACAACGAATATATATTTGGTCCCGGGATATATATTTGGTGTATATATGCTAATAACGAACTTCGGCTATTACGAGCAAATATCAGTGGACCCTTTGTGTTCGTTATAACCTAGTTTACTATATCTGTAGCGTATTCCATTCAACGGGGTATCGCGTTGTTAATTCCGGGTTCGAATCTCAGATTCGACCTGATTACGGTCAGTGGTCTGTCTGTACCGTGTCGTGATTGGTGGCTTTCACTGAAGAGGTGACATCAATGAGCTGTGCCAAAAAAACCAGAGCACACAGCCTGTAATCAAGGGACCTAACTCGCCCAGACACAAGGCCAGTATTCCCAGTGAAACACCCATTGTTTCTGACACTTCGACGACACGAATATGTTCAACTTGAATTAAATATAAACAGAGGGATTTTATATCTCCTCGTTAACTTAAGGAGACGTTGACCTTTTGTACCTATTTGCCTGTATGGGCAAACATGAGCGAACACATCACAGCTTGGATGATGGGTTGATGGAAGCGTGATCGGTTGATTGAATGATGATGAACAGTTAAGTGGAAAGATGATGGATGGGTTGATGAAATGTGTTGATGTGTTGATGGACGAGTGATGAATGAGCTGACGGGCAGGTGATGAATGAGCTGACGGGTGGGTGATGAATGAGCTGACGGGTGGGTGATGGATGAGTGATGGATGGGTGATGGATGCGTTGAAGGATGGGTGAAGGACGGGTGGTGGATGCGTTGACGGACGGGTGATGGATGGGTGATGGATGAGCTGACGGGCGGGTGATGGATGGGTGATGGGCGGGTGATTGATGAGATAACGGACGGGCAATGGATGTGTTGACGGACAGTTGATGGACGGGTGATGGACGGAAGTTGATGGACGGGTGATGGACGGACAGTTGATGGACGGATGATGGATGTGTTGATGGACGGGTGATGGACGGACAGTTGAAGGACGGGTGATGGATGGGTTGATGGACGGGTGATGGACGGACAGTTGTTGGACGGGTGTTGGATGGGTTGACGGACGGGTGATGGACGGACAGTTGATGGACGGGTGTTGGATGGGTTGACGGACGGGTGATTGACGGACAGTTTATGGACGGGTGATGGATGGGTTGACGGACGGGTGATGGACGGACAGTTGATGGACGGGTGTTGGATGGGTTGACGGACGGGTGATGGACGGACAGTTGTTGGACGGGTGATGGATGGGTTGATGGACAGGTGATGGACGGACAGTTGTTGGACGGGTGATGGATGAGTTGATGGACGGGTGATGGATGGGTTGATGGACGGGTGATGGACGGACAGTTGTTGGACGGGTGATGGGTGGGTTGATGGACGGGTGATGGATGGGTTGACGAACGCGTGATGGATGGGAACACGGACGGGTGATGGACGGACAGTTGATGGACGGTTGATGGATGTGTTGATGGACGGGTGATGGACGGACTGTTGATGGACGGGTGATGGATGGGTTGACGGACGGGTGATGGGCGGACAGTTGATGGACGGGTGATGGATGTGATGATGGACGGGTGATGGATGGGTTGATGGACGGGTGATGGAGGGACAGTTGATGGACGGGTGATGGATGTGATGATGGACGGGTGATGGACGGACAGTTGATGGACGGGTGATGGACGGACAGTTGATGGACGGGTGATGGATGTGATGATGGACGGGTGATGGACGGACAGTTGTTGGACGGGTGATGGACGGACAGTTCATGGACGGGTGATGGATGGGTTGACGGACGGGTGATGGGCGGACAGTTGATGGACGGGTGATGGATGTGATGATGGACGGGTGATGGACGGACAGTTGATGGACGGGTGATGGATGGGTTGACGGATGGGTGATTGATTGGTTGAAAGACGTTTGACGGACGAGTGATGGGTGGGTTGAAGGAAGGGTGATGGACGGGTTGACGGACGGGTGATGGACGGTTGATGGACGGGTTGACGGACGGGTGTTGGACGGTTGATGGACGGGTTGACGGACGGGTGATGGACGGTTGATGGATGGGTTGACGGACGGGTGATGGACGGTTGATGGACGGGTTGACGGACGGGTGATGGACGGTTGATGGACGGGTTGACGGACGGGTGATGGACGGTTGATGGACGGGTTGACGGACGGGTGATGGACGGTTGATGGACGGGTGATGGACGGTTGATGGACGGTTGATGGACGGGTTGACGGACGGGTGATGGACGGTTGATGGACGGGTTGACGGACGGGTGATGGACGGTTGATGGGTGGGTTGACGGAAGAGTAATGGATGGCTTGACGGACGGGTGATGGATGGAAGGCACTGCACATCAAGTCTTTGTATATTATTTGCTCCTTAGATATAAACTATATACACATGAATGTAGTCTCATCGTAACAATATACTCTACACGTCATTATGCCTCAGGGTACATCGGCTGATTCGCCGTCACAGACGATATGTCCACATTTTCACAGAAACACAGTCATGCACTTCAGCAACGTGTCTCCATAACTATCAGTGGTTCTCCCACTGGGATGGTCGGGAACTTTTAAACTGAGCTCCGTCTTTTGAGACTGTTTCATATACACTCAGCATGGCCTGGTTTTCTTGAGGGACACAAGTCACTACCAATCGATCAACGCTATTGTTGATGTACAACGACCATGGAGGCCTAAGGCTCCGTTTGGGCGATCGATAGCGTTCTCGGTACTCGGAAATGGGCGCGGGAGGGTGAAAGATGGCGTACGAGTTGACTCGAAATTGTACCATCTTTATCCTGGCTTAATCAATGAGAGGAATCTTCTTTTGTCCCCAAAATCGCTTTGGGCATGATGGCCTTTTCTTGAAAACAAACCCAAAATTATTCCTTAGTTCGGGTGACTTTTCCGGGCGACTTCAAGTGCTCGACGCGCAGCATGCACGCATTGATATATTGTTCACGCTTTTCAAGACGGTGAAAACTGCCGTGAAATGATACATCATCTCTGACCTGAATTTATTCAGTTTCAAATAATCACTGATAATTTCCATCGATTGCTATGTTCGGGTAGCACGGCCTCACGGTTAAGTCCATTGCCGTGTGGCTAAATTTGATTTTCATTCAAGAGCTCGCCCAAAGTAAAAAGCGCACACTTGAAACGGCTAAATCAACAGATTCCATTACAATTCATGTTTGTTTTAATCTAATCATTATGCAATGACATTTCGCTCTTATTTGTCGATTTCACGTCATTGATTTGAGGGGGTTCATGCCGGCTTGTCTAGCGTGGAATACCAGGACAGGACCTCATGTTTACTTGGCCACACTGCAGTTTATGTTGAGGCCAGTGTACAGTTTCCGTTTTGTCGGACCGATACTTAGTCGTTCAAGAGTAATCAAACAATCTTTTCCTGCATATACTTTGATCAACGAATGAAGGAAAACGGGCGGTCGGGTAGCCTAGCGGTTAAAGCGTTCGCTCGTCACGCCGGAGGCCCGGGTTCGATTCATCACGTGAGTACAATGGGTGAAGCCCATTTCTGGTGCGAACCCGGGGAATCGAACCCGGGTCTTCGGCATGACGAGCGAACGCTTTAACCACCAGGCTACCCGACCGACCCACGTCGTGTCAGCTTGATGTGGGCAGTAAGACTGACGTGGTTCAGACCTTAGACGTTTACCAGTTTGGTGAAACCCACGATTCTGCATTGAGGCGCCTTTGACGACTGGGCAACCTCTGCGCCGTGTCCGACATCGAATACATCTCTTTTATTTGACAAACACATATTTACTACAACCAAATACTCTGCCATACCCTACCACGTCGTAAAAACGACGAGATTACTGACGAGATTAGATCTGTCCCTACTGCTAAGATCTTCGCTGACAGCCTGGCCTGATATAACTGATGGACGGCCGCACCGCGCATCAAACGTCATGCTTCGCGAAATAGATTTCAATTTCCTTGTCAAGGCCTCGATTTCATGACAGCGGTTATGTGATAAGGTAAAAAGAAGTCTTTATCGTTGATTATACAGAGATTGCAACAAGGGGCTAATCAAAGGGCTCAAAGAATTTCCTCTGGAGGTATAAGATTTCAATTATTGAGTTAGGAGCTCAATCGCCGAGGCAATGGAGGGCTCAGATGGCAGCCTTAAAGGGGTAGTAGGTTCAAGGCGGTCCTAGCAAGTTGGATTTAATTAAAAGTGACAAAACCCTTTCCTCAGCTTACAAGAAATCAATGTTTAAAGACCATTTCTCGTGTCCCCCCACAGTATAATAGCTGGAATAACGCTAAAAGCGGCGTAAAATACAACTCACTTACTCACAAGAAATCTCTGTTACAAGTCGAGTCGACTTTTCAACACCGGCGACGTCATGAGTAGGTGTTCGCGGAGCATCATGTTGTACAACACTATGAATAATTGCACGCGATTTTATGGCCTTTAAATGGTTGACAAAGCAATTTTTTATGTTTATCTTTCCATAAACCATAAGCCATGCCCTCTAGCGGACTAAACCATAAGCCATGCCCTCTAGCGGACTACTGTTTCCTGACTGACTGACAATACATTGAGCGGGGTTTATGTTGCACTATCTTGACTGATGTCACTGATTTTGTATTGTGTTGCACTATTTTCACTGATGTCACTGATTTCGTATTGTGCTGCACTATTTTCACTGATGTCACTGATTTCGTATTGTGCTGCACTATTTTCACTGATTTCGTATTGTGCTGCACTATTTTCACTGATGTCACTGATTTCGTATTGTGCTGCACTATTTTCACTGATGTCACTGATTTCGTATTGTGTTGCACTATTTTCACTGATGTCACTGATTTCGTATTGTGCTGCACTATTTTCACTGATGTCACTGATTTCGTATTGTTTTGCACTATTTTCACTGATGTCACTGATTTCGTATTGTGCTGCACTATTTTCACTGATGTCACTGATTTCGCATTGTGTTGCACTATCTTGACTGATGTCACTGATTTCGTATTGTGCTGCACTATTTTCACTGATGTCACTGATTTCGCTTTGTGTTGCACTATCTTGACTGATATCACTGATTTCGTATTGTGCTGCACTATTTTCACTGATGTCACTGATTTCGTATTGTGCTGCACTATTTTCACTGATGTCACTGATTTCGTATTGTGCTGCACTATTTTCACTGATGTCACTGATTTCGCATTGTGTTGCACTATCTTGACTGATGTCACTGATTTCGTATTGTGCTGCACTATTTTCACTGATGTCACTGATTCGCATTGTGTTGCACTATCTTGACTGATATCACTGATTTCGTATTGTGCTGCACTATTTTCACTGATGTCACTGATTTCGTATTGTGTTTCACTATCTTGACTGATGTCACTGATTTCGTATTGTGCTGCATTTTTTTTACTGATGTCACTGATTTCGTATTGTGTTGCACTATCTTGACTGATGTCACTGATTTCGTATTGTGTTGCACTATCTTGACTGATGTCACTGATTTCGTATTGTGCTGCACTATTTTCACTGATGTCACTGATTTCGTATTGTGCTGCACTATTTTCACTGATGTCACTGATTTCGTATTGTGTTGCACTATTTTCACTGATGTTACTGATTTCGTATTGTGTTGCACTATTTTCACTGATGTCACTGATTTCGTATTGTGTTGTATCTCCTCCTTGCATTGTGATCTCTTGTTGACAACTCAAACGTCAACAAACCCTTCGTATCAGTCAAAACCGTCTTTTCTACAACATCGCCATGTTACAACTCCCCATACGCGTCATCAGCTACCTCACCATACATACATGTACCTAGAACTTCCCAAGTTTAGAAAACTCACACAATAATGAATGACAGCTCGCGAATCCAAGGACGTCATGTGACGAGCTATACTACACGCAACACAAACTCCATGGGTCGCATGCAACCTTCCACATCTAACAATTGTCTTCAGTTTTTTGTGTGTTACTGATTAAATAAGCGGTATGTGAATATATTATTGTTGACATATTTATTTACCAAAATTAACGTCAACATAAGTTTGGAGGTAAAAACGTCAAAACAGGTCTTCATTTTTTGCGTAAATAGGCTTCGTGGATTTTACAGTTGTTTTTGGTTTATACCTCCTTAAAAACACACACATATATTGAAGACAATTGTCAGCAAAGGTCACTTTGTTTGTCAAGTTAAATATGTATTCACAGGCAGTGTCTCATCGTGTTACATTACCGTCAAGACAGTGACTGAAGAGTAGTGTCAGGTCATAGACTGTAGTCCCCTTTAAGTCGGTCGTCATACCACTCGGCTCTTCTCAATACAACAGGACATTGGCCAGCGCTGGCAGGAATCCTTATCGGGACTACTTTAGTTCACGTGACTGTCACGTGACACAATCTGAGGTCTTCAATAAGAGTTCAGATTATTTCCGTTTGCCATTTCTTGAAATTATAATGTACATTGTATACTTAACACCCCTATCGCAGAGAATAGTCTGTCCTGAAAAAGACGTCGGCCCTGTTACAGGAACTACATACATTGGGACCTGGCGCTGCATGGTCTACTGTGAAGTCATGCAATACCACCACACCATTGCTGCCCGAGGTATTCAGCAGCTTTCGGAGCTAGCCTGGCGGACCCGAGTGAAGACCTTCTTACTGCATTCAGATTCTGTCGGAGTCGTAGAAAAGTATCAGGGCTACTCCCCAGAGGTCTACTGTGTTCTGATTGTCATCATCATGGTGACAGGGGCGATCTATTCGACCACATACACAGCACGACTGACCTTGGATTAGAAAATTTGGTTCAAATGTAATAAAGGGATTTTGAAAACTGAAGTTCGCAACATAACGCATTACATTGTTTTATGAACACGGGGTCTGGCTGTCGCTGGCCAGTGTTAGAAACGTTTCATTTGATTAAACGAGGTAGTGAGGGTCGTGTTCAGTTACACTTATAACCTTGAGAAATTACAAAGAAACACTTCTGATTGCTCAGATTGCGCCCTGTGATAGCCAATCAGATGATCGTTTATGTCTAGGCACAGGAGCCAATAGCTGTCCTCGTACCAACTGCCTTGTGTAGATCGATGTAATCGAAGGCTTGGTTACAAATGCAAAAGGGGCAATCAAAAGCATTGCAAGATAAGCTCCGACTAAATGGGCATACCTTAAGCTTATGATTGGTGTGGAACATCCTTTAATTGATAAGAAGGTGGTTGTTTATTGCCTGGTTTCAGCTTGAGGGCCATGTTATTATACCTAGAGCGGTGGGGATTTATCGTAGTAGTTTCACAGGGGTTTAGGATGAAGGAGAAGAATACCCTGGATGAAGGGGACGTGAG